TGAAATCCCACATGAACGTTTGATGTTTCAACAACCCCGTCTGAGGGTTTTCTATGAACCACGCCAAAGGATTGAAATAATTGATTATCTCTATGGTCTTTTGGACTAATGCGTTGGCATAGGTGATATGTCTTGTTCCTGTGGTTTTTGCTATGCTGTATTCGGTGCATGGAGGCGATGCCCAGATGACCTGAAACTCGTTGTGGTTGAATTGTTTGTAGTCCCACTGTAAAATGTGTGTGCTGATGTCAGCATTTTTCAAATCCAACGATACCACATCAAAACCCAGTTCCTTGGCGACTTTCCCGACACTGCCCGTTCCACTGAATAATTCTAATAGTTTCATATAAAATAAGATGATATTATTTTTTTAAATCAATTGTCTGCAATACACCTGATGGTTTCAAGGGTGGTATCCTCTTCGGTCGGGGTTATCCCTCTACCCCATTTGAATTGGATGTTATGGATGTCGGTTTCAACATTGATGTCTCCGTCTTTAGACTTGTCAATGGTTAGGGACTTGTCGTTCTTGCTCAACTTGAAGGAGAACGGGACGCATTTACATTGACACTCACCCTTCTTCTTGATTATGAGTTCGTTCTGCATTTCCAACATGTTTTTACAAAATGGACACTCAAAACGTATGTCATGGGTCTTCACTTCCACTTCCTCCTCATCTTCCTCTTTCACTGGTTCTACCTTAGTTTCTTTGCTCTTATTGTTATTGTTCTTTTTCTTCCTCGGCATCTAATCTATATTTGAACATATTTTTACAAATTTTGGTAATTTTCAAAAAATACTTGAACAACTGATCATGTTTTTTGTTGAAAAGGCTTTCTCACTTATTGGCGTGAAATGTGAAACAAAGGCTGATCGCTGGCGGCCGTGATTTCACTCAGTTTGACCCCGCAGTGGCCAAGTCATTGCTGAACACTCAAGAGAGTGCTGTTTCTGGTCAGTATGTTACACAGCTGTTCTCAGAAAAGGAAGGGTGTGACAGCGAGATGGTTGAAACCAATGGGCAGCGGGCCATCCAAAGGTGCTTTCACCGTACAAGTCAGATCCCATTGCGCTATGTGGAATGGAAAATCCCATTGAAGGCTTCATCAATCTGTAGCTTCATGTGCGGCCCAGATGTTGAGCTGCAATTGCGCTATGGTTCAAAAAAGGCCCGCCGGCTCTGTGCCAAGCTCTCAGACAGTCGCGCATTAAGCTCCTGACTCGCATGGGCGGAAAGACATGGAGATAGCACGGCACAACCACGACTGCGGATTTTCCATCACTGTCATTGGGATTTATGCCATGGACATCCTAAGGCCGGTGCCGCCTGAAGTGCTAATTTTCCATTCGGCCGTGGTAGAGGTGCAGCCTTGGCTGCTTCACCACTGGACAACCGCGCCATTGAATTTTCATTGCCATGGCATCCTGCAAAATGCAGCGGGAAGCAAGATGAAACAAGGCAAAGCATGGCAAAACACTTCACCGGCTGAGCCCCGCACCAAAAGCAGAAGGCCGAAGGCAACTCCTGACATGTGGGGGCCGATGCTGCGAATGACCACTTGTGGCATGTGCTGACCGCTTGACGGAAGGCCTTTCGGAGTGACCCGGACGAGTTGTCCAGCCTGTTGAACTTCACTGATTATAAGTGATTGATGTCCAACTCACTTGAAGCAATGCAAGTCACAGAAAAGGTGATGCTTTGCCTTCTCTTCAAAAAAATCATGTGCTTGGTCGCCGTCTGCGTCCACAAGCAGTGGCAAACCAAGCCTTGCCGTGAAACACATCACACTCGCTTTTAGTTGAAGCCATGCTCACTGGTCTTGTCTGGTGTTCACCTGTCAGACAGTGTTGCAGCGATCGATGCATGTGCCATGGAAGATGGGTTGCTTTGAGATATTTGAGGTTATCGCGCAACACCACCAGAGCCGTCAGGAGTTTCAACACAGACCTCCGCACTGGCGCACTTGCACGCCCGGCTGCACATGTTGCATCTAGCCATTTAGAGCTGTGGCTGTGGGCTGATCAGGTGGCTCTGGTGACCTGAGGGTTTGCAGCAGGGACACAGAATGACAAAAATAAACCGCAAAGCAGAAAGCGAACAAGAACAGCAGCAAGAAAACATATTCAAAGATATCATACCCAGCAATGTGTGCCGCGAAGGTTCACCTGCCCAGTCACGAGAGATGTTGATGGCCCATCTGGCGCTTGCGTTGGTTCCATTCCTGAACGCATCTCACACGGGACCGCTGAAAATCAACGGCAGATTTGCAGATGGGACTCAGGGCATGGCACGCAGCTGGCGGAGCTTTTCTGCTTTGTTTCCTTGTTTTGCCTGGGTTAGCTGAAGCACACCAGGCTCGCAAAATTGTGGGCATACACTCATGTGCAGTCCTTAAAATGATTGTCTGAGGGTCTGGCTGGAACCTGTCCCATGACCTGAGTATGCTCGCCCTCAACTCTGGCGAGAAATCAATGGGCTAAAATGTGGCAGCTGTTCCCAGTCGGTCAGACTGGGTCTGCGCGCTCATCGGTGCATGATAATTTGCCACGTATGATGCGCAAGTCATGAATGTTCATCATGTATGCATCTAATATCAAGCAAAAGATGGGGCAAATTTATGCAAATCACATGTCGCCTCTTCCTTTTGGGCTGCGTCAGCAGTCTCAGCATTTTCCGCGTCAGTGGCCTGCACCAAATGCCCATCTCATTAAGTCTGGAAATCCAGCAGCATGCCAAGAGCACTAGTCGTGACATTCAACCATTATTAACCATTAACCATTATTAACCATCATCAACCATTATTATATATAGTATTAACAATTTTTAACCATCATCAACCATTATTAACCATCATTTACCATTATTAACCATCGTCAAACATTATTATATAATAAAGTACTAAACATTATTAACAATCATCAACCATTATTAACCATGATTAACCATTATTAACCATCAACAACCATTTTTATCGAAGGAAGTTTAGAAGTCAAACTTCCGACAATATGGACAGATGAAGAGCAGAGCAGGGCAGAGGCAGAGAGAAGAGAAAGATTGGAAGAGAGAAGAGTAGAAGAGAAAGAGTCAGAAGAAGAAGATGCAGATGCGCGAAAAGGTAGGAAAGTCTCGAAACACTGTGTTTTTCCAATGATTTGTGGCTCCGGAGGGTCGAAAGGTAGGCTCGCTAAAGCGGCGGGTGCGGAGCCAGCTGGCCAGATGAGAGATGAAAAATTGCACGCCGTTGTGGCGCGAAGCACATTTCGAAGTCAAAATGTACAAAGCACACCATTGTCGGACCACTTTTGGAAGTTGAGATGTCGAAAAAGTGCACGCCGTTGTGGCGCAAAGCACATTTCCAAGTCGAAATGTACAAAACACCTCAGCGTCGGACCACTTTTGGAAGTTGAGATGTCGAAAAAGTGCACGCCGTTGTGGCGCGAAGCACATTTCGAAGTCAAAATGTACAAAACACACCATTGTCGGACTACTTTTGGAGGTTCAGATTTCGAAATATTTTACGCCGTGGTGGCGCGAAGCACATTTCGAAGTCAACATGTTAAAAACACCAGGGTTTCGGACCACTGTTGGAGGTTCAGATGTCGCTTCGCTTCGCTACACTACATTACACTACACTACACGCCACTACACTGCACTGCACTGCACTACACTACATTACACAAAACTACAACTACAACTACACAACTACACTCCACTACACTCCACTACACTAAATCATACTACACTACACTACACTCCACTACGCTACATTACACTACACTACCTTCCACTACACTTCACTACATTACACTACACTACACTCCACTACACTACAACTACACAACTACACTCCACTACAATACACTCCACTACACTACACTAAATTACACTACACTACACTACATTACACCACACTACGCTCCACTCCACTACACTACACTACCTTCCACTACACTTCACTACATTACACTACACTACACTACACCACAACTACAACTACGAATACACAACTACACTCCACTACACTCCACTACACTAAATTACACTACACTACACTACATTACACTACACTACATTCCACTACACTCCACTACACTACACTACACTACATTACACTGAATGACACTGCACCACAGATAGACAGGTCGACAGATAGACAGATAGATAGATAGATTGATGGATAGACAGGTAGACAGCTAGACAGATAGACAGATGAAAGAGAGAGAGAGAGAGATAGGATAGATAGATAGATAGATAGATAGATAGAGAGAGAGATAGATAGATAGATAGATGGATATAGATAGATAGATAGATAGATGAAAGAGAGATAGATAGAATAGATATATAGATATCGTAATTAGATGAAAGAGAGCTCGCGCGAGGAGAGAGAGAGAGAGAGCAGATAGGAGGATAGATAGATAGATAGATAGATAGATAGATAGATAGATAGATAGATAGATAGATAGATAGATAGATACATAGAAGATAGGTTGGTAGGTGGGTAGATAGTCAGAGAAAGAGAGAGAAAAAGAAGAGACCTTGACCTCAAGCACCTTTTCGGTCCATCAGTGGATTCGCTCTGCCATCCCTGATTCACAACAACCAATATCTCCTATAGGTTTCCTATTTTTGAAACTTCCGCCACCGCCGACCGTGCGGTACGACTGGTATAGTATTAACCATTATTAACCACCAACCAGCTATTACATCAACTATTCTTAACCATCATCAATCATTATTAACCATCATCAACCATTATTATATAGTAACCATCACCAACCATTATTAACCATCATTTACCATTATTAACCATCATCAAACAATATTAACCATCATCAACCATTATTAACCATCATCAACCATTATTAACCATCATCAACCATTATTATATAGTATTAACCACCACAATTAAAAAACACTTTTGCTTCGTGTCCATCCCCAACGGCCCTTTCTGGATCTCCCGAAGACACCGTTTTCGCGAAAGCGCGGGACGCCAAGGCACTGCCTCGTCGCCGAAGATCTTCACCTCCTGGTGATGGCAGCTGAAACGGTGAAATCCATGGGAAAACGATGGGAAAATGTGGGATGATCTCAAAATCATGGGAAAATCATGGGATCATGGTGATATCCTATGGGAACACTATGGGAAACTAGATGAAGAATAGGATGATATGGGAAAATCATGGTGATGTTATGGGAAAAACATGGGGAAATCCTCTAACTAACAAACATGGAGCATAGGCCAAGTCCCTCCGACACCGTCCAATGCTTCAAAGAACCCCCACGTCTGTCCGTGATTTCCCCCCTGGTTCCTATGGTTCCAGACCCCAGAAACTCTGCTAATCGAATCCCAGTCTGGCTGAAATACTTACCCATTCTTCACTTAAGATATAATCTCAACTCATCTCAAGTCCCATAATTATGGTTAATGTGGGTAAAACAATCATAAACCACCTTGGGAATGGTAAAAAAAATGCCACCTATAAAAATGGTGATTTGGGGGATGGCTTAGTGTACCCACATTACTGGCTTAAAAAACCCAACAGAGAACTGCTACAGTACCGAAGCGGCTCCTTCGTGATCCACTGCTCCGCGGTATTCCCATGGTCTTTATAGACCTCCACCAACTTGCCCACCACGCTCTGCGCATCGATCCGGAAAAACGGGTCAAGCTCTGGGCAAACATCCCCCTAAAAAAGAAACTGAAGTGAAGTCAACCCTTATGAGTCACATCAGTCTGCTTGTCGTAAGTATTAATATGTCTTATAGTGTTTTATTATCTTTAAATTTTCTTCAACATTCTGGAAAATTATAATAATTCACTAACCTGAAATTTCAGGCCTATGAGGATGATTCCTCTTACTAACCATGATTCCAGGTTTCGGTCGCGGTGAGTTCGTTATAATTTACCCGGAACGCGACGAGCTACGGAACGCGACGAGGGAAGCTACGGAACGATGTCTGTTAAGGCCAGCTGTTTTCTTTGCTCCAGCTTAAGACAACGAGGAAAATAAGTGAATTGATAATAAATTCCCATTAGTGTTCAAATGTGTTCAAGAAATAATTGTTTAGGAAACGAAGACCGTAATGACGTAATGATGATTCCTATGTTACGGCTTCGTTCACAGGGCTATTGCAAAGGTTGGGATTGGAGATGAACAAAGTGGTCCCTCGCAGACGTTGGTAGCTAGGCTTGCGGATGGCAAAACACGCTGATCAGGTTACAAATGCTGGTTTACTGAAATAGGTAGGATGTTCCCCTTAAATCATCGATTTCAATGGGATTTTCATGGCTTTTCCATTGTAAGCCTACCAAATTTTGGATACCCCCATTTATAGAAATCCCCAAATCACCTATGCTCCCACCAGCAGCAACCAGCAACGCCAGCAACGTCCCACCGGCCTCGTATTGGACGCTGAGTTGCGCGTCTGTGCCTGAGCGGTAATACCTCAGATCGTTTGGGGTACCCCAAGAGCTGGATGGTTTATAAGGGAAAATCCTATTAAAATGGATGATGTAGGAAACCTCCATATATATATAAATATGTATACGTATATACTTAGATTATGTCAATTTACCATGACATTAGCAGTTATTACCACCATTCGTATGGATAGTGATTCATATAATATACTTGATTCTCAATAACTATAATGTATTCACGCGAATTAGTTGGTGGGTTCCTGCTACCTCCAACATCAAACACAGGAAGCGAAAAACATCGACATCAAAAAGCAACTTCAACATTCATTGAGTCAGCACAATTTGTTGGTCGGGGGGTCCAAAATGGTCTACATTCCGGTAATTTAACATAGCAATGGAAATGGTCCTTTTATAGATGGTTTTACCCAGTAATGAATGTGATTTTCCATAGCTATGTTGAGTTACGAAAGGATAAACCTTCCATAACCAATTTATACAGTAATCGCTCTAAGCAATCTCAACCCTCTGGTACTCAAACATGGTTGGATTATCTCCATGTTTCGAAGGGCATTCATGCACTTGCACGGGGCAGTTTGAGGTACCAATGCGCTAAGCATCGGTGATTTCAAAACCCCTCAAGGAGTGAGTCAAGTCGGAATCATATTTTTAACGAGGAGGGAAAATCAGAAAGATAAAAGAAAGTACCATTCTCATCCCAACCAGCCAATTTGATGTTTTTCCCAAGGTTTTTGCTTGGGAAAACTCGTTCTAAACGATCTCGAGTGACCACTTGATTTCTTTGTACTGGCGGACATCAAATTCCCATAACTATTAATAGCTACTATTACCTAGTGGTAAATCAACTGTAGATCATTTGGAAAACCGATGGCTTCAGAGGGCAAAATCCCCGACCGAGCTGCGAGAATTTCAAGGTGTAGTCTCCTTAGCCCAGCCATGTGCCATGGTCAAAACATGGATTGCTTAGCCATAGAAGTGGATGGTCATCCACCCATTTATAGAGTTCAATATAGCCAGTATAATGGATTCCCAATATGACTGGAAAAATGCAATGGCTTCAGTTTTCGTCAGGATACTGTAGATCCAAACCTCGTTTGGAATCTCCTTTTTGATGAGTTGACAGTTGACAGGGAACTACGAGTACTGTGACACCCATCATTTAAGGAAAGGCAAAACGTTTGACCATGACTGGTATCTAGATGTCCCTGCTATGTGCCTTTTTGTTTTCGCTTCATGTTGGCTTTATTTGGACAACAACCCTGTTGTCTGTTTATGATTATTGCTAATCCCTTTCTATTGACTCTAGTGTCGCCATGGTCAAGGGGTGGTATGGGGGGTTGGTCATCCGACCGTAGATCGTATTAAAACCCCATTCATGTGGGAGTGACCATCGTTTATGGAAAACTAACTGCCAAACTCAATCAATCAATCAAACAGTTGAGTTTTTGGTAGGCTATCGAGTTTCATCCAGCAATTTGTGAAACAACCATTAAATCTCCACGATTCTTCTGACATGTTCATTGATCCATCACCATTCACTGCCTAACATTAACCACAGCGAACAGAAACAAAACAATCTACCAATCATCGATCACTATCTGGGTGAACTCTCAGTTTATCCTCATCGTCGTTGGCTTGGTACGTGGTAAACTTTCTCTTCGGAAACAAGAAACATGGGAAAAAAACAAAACGAAACAGTCGAACTGGAGGTTATCACATGTTATCACATACATTATAGTAATAGATGATCTTAAACAAGTGGTTGAGAACGCCAGGTTTGGTAATCCAAAAATGGTGGTTTTATCCAACATGTTTCAAGATGTCATCCAACGGCGATGTGGCCATGATGACCCCATATACCTACCATTTGGAAATGATCCTTTAGTTACCAGCCATTTGTGGTGATCTTATTGTGATCTTATGGTGATCATAAACAAAAAATGGGGGATGATAGTTACCATTTGGGGATGATTGTTTGTTCAAGTTTAATGATGATATTGGTTTAACCACATGTCTTTTGGCATGAGATGGTTCCCATCATTTTGTTAAATTAGGGAAAATTGTAGTAAGTTCCCAGTTCATCCTCTCAGTCAAATAAGCCCATGATTGTCATCGATTCTCCGATGCTAAACCCAAGAACCAGCCTGAAATCTAGGTAATTCATGGTAATTCCACCACGTCTGGATTCTTCAGTGATCCACCCCTCCTCCGGTCAGTTCAAGTATCGGAAACTACTCAGCGAGGGGCTCTCTAGGATGAAAACCTGCGAATTTTGCTCAGCTTTGTTTGCCAGGCTTGATGGTTCAAGGTGAGTTCACCAAAATAACTGGACGAGGCCCACTTACTACTTGTGACTGGAGTGAACTACTGTAACCCACTTACGATTCCTAGGATGACACATAAAGTGGATTTTCATGTTTTTGGTGACACGTATTTCTACAACCGTGTAGGCGTTGCGATTTTCGTGGTCACCGCACATGGAAAGTACATGATTGGGGGGGTGGGGGGGTGGGGTGGGGTGGGATGGATTAAATAGCGTACATGTCGCTTGGGGAACTAGTTGATGCTACGTTGATGGAATGTTCTTGCACACTGGCAGCTCTACGCTGTGCTACGTTGTTGGCACGGGTGGGGTGGGGTGGGGTGGGATAATAGCGTCCATGTATGCTTGCGGAACTAGTTGATGCTACGTTGATGAAATGTTACCAAAAGCATGGTGGTGAAGTCCGTGCGCCACATGCGTAGTGAATGGACTCGGAAGGTGCGAGTGCGGGGAAGAAAGAAAGTTGCAGGAACCCAATAAATTGATCGTTGTTGGCAACATCTCAAAAAAAAATGCCCCAGTCAAATGAAGAACCGCACTGGCCCAACAATCAAAGCTAGATTCTGGGATAGAATCTATCAATGGATCTATCGCCACAACATGTCCAAGTGAGACATAGCGAGCAGATGCGAGATGAAAAAAAAACCTCTGCAAACTTTTCGTCGTCTCTTGACGAAATTGCTGATTTGAAACATGACAAAACGTGAGGCGTTTTGACACGTTGATGTCAAAAACACACGGTTGTGTAAATCCGTGCTACCATGTTTTTACCATCCGCCTTTTCAGTGATGTTTACCTCATTTCGTACAATTTCTATTTAAGATCTTGATTTTTACAGACCAAGAACACGTGTACATGTCGCTGTGTCCAAAAAAGACTGACTCACGGATTAAAGAGAAAAGTTCCTGGCTCCCATTTTCAGTCGATCTTTCGGACAATAGTTGCTTCTCGGTGCCCCAAAGTCCAAGGGTTTACGGATCGGCTGCTGGAAATACACCTGGTGGAATGAAATCTTGGAGTATCTTTGATTTGCTCCAACGGTACCAACAAAAAGGACACATCTACATTGATGCAAAATGTATGTGTGTATGTATATATATATAATATTATATATATATGATCATTATAATTTTCCTCAATGCTGTTTTCATCATTTGCAACTTTCATCTCAAAAAAAAGATTTGTGATGCTGCTTTATCCACCCCTTTGCTTTCTCTTGATTTCCAGTGGTAGGTTTTATTGTAGGAGGTAAGCCTCAGAAAGGGAGGGAAATGACCACTAAACATGGTGATACAAAACCAACTACCGTACCAGGAGGATGCACAGGACGTGGAATTCCTAGGTCTGTGGACCACGGACAGTAGTTACTTGCAAACATCATGGACTACACTCTGGTATTCTAACCAGGCAAGGAGGAGAAATTTGACTATTTTGAACCGCTGTGAGTAAATATATCTCCTGGTTGGTAGTTTTAACCATGTTGAAAAATATGAAAGTCAATGGGAAGGATTATCCCATATATGAAATGGAAAATAATAATCATGTTTGAAACCACCAACCAGTCTCTATCAGTAGCCATTAACTGGATTTATGATGATATATGTCAACCATGGGATGATGCTCCGATCAAAAATGGCGACGCCGCCGAAGCCGCCCGTGTATGGAACCATGCATTGAACATAGCACATCAGTTTCTCAATACTGGTTGTTTGATATCGATTCCCCTATTGGATTATTGTAATCCCCAGTGTATGAAGGGTGATCCCCAAACTAATCATGGTACCCACCAGGGTTTTGAACACCAAATAATACCCTGTATTGACCTCCATGACCTCCATCATACATCCATACCTTCTCATACATTCTTGGTATCAACAAAAACCACTTCCATGGCTGATGGCTCATCTTGATGAATTCAATATGTCCCACATGTTTCTTGTTGATAATATGTACCCTCTGGTAAACAAACATAGCTATTGAAAATGGTCCATTTATAGTGGATGCTTTACCCATTAAAAAGGAGGATTTTCAATAGTTATGTTAAATTACCAGAGGGTAATATGTACTGCTTGTGGAATATCTATGCTGGTGATATAGATGATTGGGATTACAAACATAATGGGTACATTAACCCTATTGAAATGGGGTGTTACCATCCTCCTTTTGAGAGGCTAATCTAACTTTCGACAACAAATTCAAGGTTGCATACAGTATCTACAAAAAAAACAAGATCCCATAACATATCCCAATGATATCTCCATTGTGGTTCTTAAAATCCCATTATTCCATAAAACAAACAACAACTCTGAACATTCACGTATATTCCCATTATATAAGTTCTATCATACATCTACATTCATCCTTGAAACCCCATTGATATTTGAACTCACATGGTTATTAAATGGTTTATATTCAAAAACATATGGTTTAATGGAGTTTCTACATATAATTACATATAACTATATGTGTATATATATAAAAAATATATACAGGGTTCTTAAATCCCATTGATCCCTTGAAAGCTCACCAAATCTTGGGTTGTGCTATCCCATTGATCCCATCCCGCCTCCGAAGGATGACCATCCGCCTGGTCGAAAGGGTGGGATCTAGGGAATCTAGGGAATCTGTTGGTGGCCATGAAAATCCGTTGGTGTTTTATGGGAGAAAAGTCGACGTGTTCGGTCGCTGGTTTTTCTACTTGTTGGTTGGTTTCAAAGTCAATTGTTGTTGGCAAACTCTCTGCGTTTTGCTACTTGTGCTTGCTACTTAACCGTTGGGATTCATCTGGCAGGTTGCAGTTGCCATAAACAATCAACATCAATAAACCCAAGATGTTCAGTTAGCTCTTGTTGCACCAAGAGAAGTGCAGAACACTGGCAGGTGGATTCCCGGTGGCTTCCTCAATGCTGCATGTTCAGCTGAACTGTGTATATATAAATATATGTGTATAATGTATATAATATAATATAATATGATATAATATAAAATGATTTAAAATAAAATAATATAATATAATATAATATGATATAATATAATATAATAAAAATATAATATCATATAAAATAATATATAATATCAAATAAGATAATAAAATATAATATAATATAAAATAAAATAAAATAATATAACATAAAATGATATAATATACTATATTACAATATAATATAATATAATATAATATATTCTAATCTAATCTAATTTAATATAATATATAATAGAATATAATAAATAATAATATATAATATAATATAAACTAATAATATATAATATAATATATCATATTATTCAAAAATATAATAACATATATAATATAATGTAATATAATATGATATAAAAAATATAATATAGTAAAATTAAAATTAATATGATTTAATACAATATTATAAAATAAAATATAATATAATATAATATAATAATATGTAATATAGTATAATATAATACAATAGAATATAGTATAATATAATAAAACATAATAAAAATATAATATAATATAACATAATAAAAATATAATAATATAATAATGTAACATAATAGAAATATAATAATATAATATAATATAATATAATTTAATTTAATTTAATAAAATATATAATATCATATAATATAATGTAGTATAATATAATGTTAAATAATATAATATAATAATATAGAATTAAAAAAAATATATATAATAATATCTAATAATATATATCATATATAATAAAATAAAATAAAATATAATATAATATGATATTAAA